CTATACTATTGCAGCAGTTTATGGTACTCTTTCGACTTATTTGTTGCAGGTGACTTTGGCCTTGCAAAGATGTTGACTTCTGATGATCTTGCATCCTCAGTGAGTTATATGATTAACCATAATAGAGGTTATTATTTATTTTTGCTTTTTGCCCTTTCCTTATATAATTATTGGTTTATGCTCTATATGCAGGTTGTGGGAACTCCAAGCTATATGTGCCCTGAACTCCTTGCTGATATACCTTATGGTTCCAAGTCAGACATTTGGTCTTTAGGTAGAATATGTCTTCTGAAAGTTTACAAATTTTTAATTGTTAGATTTTAGTATCTGCGTAGCAATGACAAAATGCATTGACCAGGATGCTGCGTCTACGAAATGTCTGCTCAGAAGCCTGCATTTAAGGCTTTTGTAAGTTGCTAATTTTTTGTCGCAAATTCTATATATTATCATGATGTGTTTGGCATTTCTTGCAATGGGTACAGCTGATAAAAATTCTTGGTTGAGGAAACAACCTTGTGAAATTCTTCTTTAGAAATGCTAAAATCATTACAGAAAATTTTGTCTTTTTTGGGAGTGCACTATGATGCTATTGGAACTGTCCTATTTCTGTGACTATTTATTTGGTCGCAAGGTAAACAAATCTTTCACATTGTGTTATTGGGTTTTTTCCCTCTCCTGCAAACATCATTTTCAGAGATTTGGAGCAAATTATTCAGATTGCTATAACTTGGTACTTGGGGTATTAGAAAATGATTGAAGGAAAAGATGTTGTCAACCTTCGAAATATTAAAATCTTGTTGCTATATCTTCTTATATTTATTTCAGCATCCTAACTTTTGTCCCTATGTAACATAGAATATATAGCATCATATCAATGATATAAGCTTCTTTGTCTTCCTGTTTTGAACAGGATATGCAAGCTCTCATTAACAAGATAAACAAGTCTATAGTGGCTCCTCTTCCTACAACGTATTCTAGTGCATTGTAAGGCGAATTCCTCTTAGTCATATCACAGTTTCAAATTCTTCTTGTTTTTTTATTTCTTTTGCTTTCAATTTTGTAACTGGAAGCTTGCCTATATATATGGTGCTTTAGAATAAGCATTATGTCTGACTTAATATTTATTTGGTTTCCAGTCGAGGTCTTGTGAAGAGCATGTTGCGGAAAAATCCTGAACTCAGACCAAGTGTAAGTTTGACTTTGGTTTTCCTTTTCCCTTGGAATTTGTTTTCTTTAGTGAACACATGCGGGCTACGCTGAAAAAGGAATTGTTCAAAACATCATCAAACATGGATTAGCTATTATTCTGTGTTCCTTAAAACGAGTTCATTCGGGGCCAGTTTAAGGTGCGTTTGTTAGTCCAGATAACAAATATAGACGCCAATCTTTGGCATATAGAGAGATTGGACTGGGTTGAAAGATTAAGATAAGTTTCACAAATGAAATCTTAGTTATGCTTATGTTCCACTTGGCAGGTTATAGAAGTTTGGACTGTTTATAATAATTTACTCCATTATAAATGCTCCCCGAGAGCTGATAGGACTTAGTGGCTTGTTCAAATACGTGCCCTTCATTTCTGTTTCTTTAAATTATATGGCAAACTGAAGTCCAATTTCTTCGCCAGGCTGCAGAGTTGCTCAATCACCCCCATCTTCAACCTTATATCCTCAAAATTCATCTAAAATTGAATAGCCCAAGAAGAAATACCTTTCCACTCCAGTGGACTGACTTGAACCGTGTAAAGAAAACTAGATTTATGGAGCCAGAAGTTGTTCCCTTTTTCATCGACAGGGACAGAAGGTTATCATTTAGCAATGACAGGGCCTTGAATCCAAGTATTTATGAAGTGGAGCAAGAATCTGTGTCTTCTTCTCGGAGAACCTTGGAATCACCAATCTTTCTGAACCGGAGATTCTCGGAATTATCTGTTGGTGTTGTCAACGAAGAGATTGTAGTTGGAAAGCCTGTGGCCACAAAGTCTACGGGCACTGCTAGAACTCCTAGATTGACACCAGCAAAAGATTCTGCTACTCCAAGAAGACAAAAAACATCATCAAATATTGGCCCAAAACATGATTTGGTAAGTTCACGCAAAATGGTTACTGGAGGAGGCGCTTTATATTCTTCTTTTGAATTTTATTTGTTCATAGATAACTTGATGGATGGCTTTTATATTTTCCAATATCATGGCCTCAACGGGCGAAATTCATGGATCCTGAGACAGTGATTGTGTTTGTGGAATTTATTGGAAATTTCTAATAAAAAAGCCGATGCATTCTTTTTTGAATTCTGTATATTGGTTAGATCTCAGTCAATTAAGACCTGTCTGATTGATTTCTAAGTGGCTAACAACAGTAAGGGGCATGTTTATATTTTCAGATTAGGACATCGCATACTCCAAGTAAATCCTCCCATCCTACTCGAAGAGCATCACTTCCATTGACTAGGAAAGCCGCAGCCGTGGAAACACCATACAGAGCTGATGTTGGGCTACTTCATGCTGTGGAGTCCCCAGATGTATCTGTAAATGCGCCAAGAATTGACAAGATTGCTGAGTTCCCATTAGCATCATCTGAAGAGCCTCTCTATCCTATTCGTGGAACATCGTCAACCTCTGTGCAGTGCTCTTCTTCATCACCATCAGACAATGCTGATCACTCAATCACAAAGGACAAGTGCACAGTCCAGATTTTGGGGGGAGTAGTTAAAAGGTCAAATTTTGACGATGGAAATCATGAGGTAATGCAAAATGGAAGTGAAGGTTCAGTACATCATCCAACGGCTGGAAATTCAAGCCGTTCATCTTTTGAGTCAAGACAACGTCGGTTCGATACCTCATCGTACCAGCAACGTGCAGAAGCACTTGAAGGGTTGCTTGAGTTTAGTGCAAGGCTTCTGCAACAAGAAAGGTACGATGAGCTTGGGGTTTTGTTGAAGCCATTTGGTCCTGAAAAGGTTTCTCCCAGGGAGACTGCAATCTGGTTGGCTAAGAGCTTCAAAGAGGCTGCAGTCTAGCCAAAATGCTTAATCTCCATTAGGTCTCCACTCTTGTGCTTTCTTGTCTAAATAATAGGATGATGGTTGTGAATTCTGGTCTTCTCTTAATCTCCATTAGAAGACTGTAACTAGAGACGGCTTTTATGAAGAAATAAAGAAGAAGAAATCTTCTTGTATATTATTGTGTTCATATAGCAGATGGGTAATTGTAATTGGTGCACTTCTGTGAAAATTGAGAGTTGTACAACTAGATTTTTGTAAGAGTTTTATCTCCAAATTCCAAAATCTGCAGCAAATGGTACCTGAAAACATTGAGTCAAACTTAATCCAATCTTCACATGGCAAATCCTTAAACCAGTGAGACTGTTCATATTTTTTGGATAATAGTGTCTAATTGGGCCATCAATTTTCTAAACTAACAGGAGCCCGTTTTGTAGTTCTATATTTCTAGGGTTCTAATTGGCAGTTGCCCGCCCAAATTTTAAGTCCGGAGACTGGAGTGTCGGAGACAAACAACAACCATGGAAGAAGCAGAGATCATGGAATTGTACGAACTCAGTTACTCCGATCTCATTTTATTATCATCGTCATCGTCATCGTCATTATCCTGTTCCCCGGATGAGGGGGAAAGGCTGGAGATGATGACTAGAAGCATAATGGAAACCCTATGCCCAACAGGTCCAGGTCTCCTCTCGATCACAGGTGTCCCTGACGCTTCCGTCCTCCGCCGGAAACTCCTCCCTCTCGCTCGTAAGCTGGCTCTTCTCGATCCCGAAGCTCGTAAACGCGTCCTCAGGTACCTCTGAGACTATACATTATGTGTATTACCGTCAATTAATGTTGCTGTTATAAGTAAATTGATTGGAGTA